ACGGTGGTCTTTTGGGGGCATTGGGGTCCTTCTTCTTCTTGCCTCCTTTAGCTGGTCCATAATCTTTCATTTCCCGATCATAGCGTACTTTATCCGCCTTTGCCATTTCATCAAACTTCGATTTCTCTTTGCCGGACATTGTCTGCAAAGAACAGAACTTGTTAAATTCCTAGATACAGTTCAGCACATACTTGCCCAATGGTTTTGTAGAACCCCTTGGAAAAAAAAAAAGCTTTGTACTTCATTTTTAAAGTCTAAGAAAATAGCCAGCCACTCAGGGTGACTCTACAAGTCAGCAAATCCCGAAGGTAGCCTACAAATTGAACTGTCAAAATACCTTCCACCTCTCAGAGCACTTCTTGGAAAACTCTGCAAAATTGACTGGGACCTCTGGGTTTTTCTTCTTATGTTCTTCCCTGCATGTCTGCACGAAGAAGGCATAAGCAGACATCTTGCCCTTTGGTTTCTTGGGGTCACCTTTAGCCATCCTGACTGATGTATGGATAGAAGACAAACAGATGAAAACACAATGAAATACGATGAGAAGTACAAAGAGAAACCAAAGGCAAAGCCAAATTAAGTTTCTTGGTAGTAATTCCCCACCCCACCCCACCCCTCACCCCCCACCCCCGCCTAAGCTCCTGACAAGGTGGCAGCAGGAGGCAGAGTAGGAAAGAAATCAGCTTCACTGTTGCTTGTCATTTAACGTTTGACCAGCATGAAGCACTGAAGCACGATGGTTTACAAGTTACTTCTCTAGAGTAATCACCTAGTTCTTCAAATGGGGATAACCCCCTTCAAAAGGGGGTTCCTGAGCACTCCACAGTAGTGAACTGCTACTATTCTGTAGTTTCTAAAACCAAAAGTCTGAAGAACTAATGGAAAGACACGTTTGTAGAGAGTGTAGGTGACTGGAGATAGACTTCATTTCGACTAGGTGGTTGTCTCTTTAATTCTTACGTTTAAAGGGGAAATCAAATGAAACCATAAATAGGAACAGATGTGAAATGTCAAGAGTTGCTGATATATTTGCCTTATAAAAATGGGTTTTTACAGCACTAGTGACCTGGAAAGCAAGCAGGCATCCTTCATACTACTAGTTGAAATCTGTCACTTTGTCACCAGGAAAAGGGGGAGGGGACATCAATGGACTAGTCTTTCCCCTGTGTAATGCAGAAATGCAGGTCTAGCCAGGAACACTTTCCCCAAAGTTTCCAAATAAAAATGCAGCTGTGGTGTGTCATCCTGCCTGTCCCCCATTCTCCCACCTCACCCCCCACCCCCCGCGCCCGCTTCCCGCCATCTTTTCCTTTTCCCACACCCAAGGTCATCATGTAAAACTAAAGCACTCCCTTTGGCACCAAAGGCCCGCGGGGCGCATTAAAGCCCCTCCGCGGCATCCCGGGTGGGGCGCGCCCCAACACTGGGGCGTCCTGGATTCCAGGCCGGCAGCAGACAGCCCATGTCGGGCCAAGTCCCCGTTGCTCCCGACACCTATAATTCACCTTCCATTTTGTCAAAAGCCTCGGAATGAAAGAAAGTGCCCGTGAAATCCAGTGCTGCCACCCCCGGGCCGAGCGCGGTGCCGGGGGCGGCGGCGGCGCGCGGGGGGTGGGGGGAATG